TTCAGCAGACGGCCCTGGAGGTCAAAGGTGAAGACATGAACGGGTTAGAACAAACTCACTGGCCTTCGAGGGTGAGGGACGACCATGACTGCCATTCCCAATGGCCACTAATAGGAATCCAATGATTAACATTTCAATGAAACCACTGAAAATTCTGATAAATGTGATGAAGGAGTAATAGCCAGAAAATTTCTAAAATGATGTGGAAAGGACGAGATGGTCACATGATACTGAGGCTTATGCCAAGGAAGGTTATATTTCTCTTGAATTTTCTACTCTCTAGGCAAAATATCCTCCTTCTGAGAATCCGCATTTCTTTGAAAGGCTGAAATGAGGACCTAGTCAAATCCAGGGGCGATCTCTCCAGGTGTGAGGGGAGCTTTCTTTACATTAAGAGGCGGTGATAGTTTTTGTGCTTCTTCTGCAGCTGGTTCTCTTGAAATCAAGGGCAGTCTCGCTCTGAGTGGATATTTCAGGTGAGAAGGGCTAGAAACTGACCTCAATGCTACCTACCCTTTTCTCTTTTGTTTCCTAGGTAGCCTGACCACCTTTTTTGCTTAACCACAGAGCCAAAAATATCTGTGGTGTTTGCTTCTGTCACACAATTATTAAATGGGACCTCCTAGTGCAACTAGAAATAAGCCAGCCGACATGGGGCTGACATAAGAGCTATTAATGCATATTTAATAACCTGCCTATCTCTCCATACAGACCCCTGCTTTGTGAAGAAATAATTTATTCCCTATGGATACTCTGAAGTATTTGAGAAGGTAAGACAAAGCAAGGAAAAAGTGAGGAGAATACGGACACTCAAGCCTAACTTCATGGGCCCCTATACACAGGTAATATATCTTTATTATTCTCATAATCAACTTCTTTTATTTATTTATTTATTTATTTATTTGCCAGAGGGCAAGTACACTGGCCAGAGAGGGACAGTCTGTTTCTTTAATATAAAAGGAAAAAAAAAAAAAGAAAACTGACTGAAAATCAAAACCTGAGAAAAGTATTATTATCCTCCTTGTTATTTTGGTATCTTTCCCTGAAGAACAGAAAACTTCAAGGGCAGGGAGCATCATCATAGCTGCCAGGAATCCAGGACTAGGGAAGAGAAACTTTCAAGAAAGGAAAAGTCAGGGGGCAGCAGGTGACGTGGTAGTTAAGTGCTGGACTTCCTCATGGCCGACTATGGTTCAAGTCCTGGACCTGGCATTTGAAAATCATTCTGGGGGTGTGTGGGCCCCAAATCCCAAGATCAGAATGGAGATGGGATTGTGGTATGGTCCTCCCTTCGGAGGGTGATTTCTCATTTTCCCTCTCTGTCTCTCTCTGGTGAGCATACATACCCTATGCAAAAACCTAAAAAAAAAAAAAAAAAAAAAAAGGAAAAGCAGTCAGCCATTGACAGGAATGGCTAAATGGAATGAAAGTCAGAAATAACTGTGACCTAGAAAAACCCAGGATGGGAAATCTCAATAAAGTGACCAATATATAGCTGAGTACCTACTAAACATCTGGCTCCTTCAGGGGAACAGACACTCAAAAACATGGACTCATGGCCAGCTAGGCACAGAGAGTGCCAGCACTTGGGAGGCTGGCAGCTGCATGGGAGGCCTGGGTTAAGCTGCCGGGCTGCTCTGAACACGTTGGGCACAGGTGTATCTGTAATCCTAGGTAATTGGGAAGTCGGGGCAAGATCTTGTCAAAAAAGATTCATCTCTGTCACTATCCTTTCCTCTTTCTCACCCTCTCTCTCTTGCATAGAGAATAAACAAAATAAAACAAACTAAACCAAAAAATGGGGAATCAATCAACAAAAATATGACTTTCCCAGAGTTTGCTTAAGATCATCTTTGTTACAGTCAGGATTACTGCTCTGTGATTAGTGACTAAAGCAGCCCACAAAAGACATTATCTCTTTGTAAGCATCGCTCAAGTGGCGCTGGTTCTGTCTGTTAAGGCATTCCACAGTAGCAGTCATTATCTGACTCAACCTGTAGAATGACATGGAGAGACAGGATAATTGGTGAAAAGTGGGGAACCAAAATAGTTTCTTAATTGCTAAATGAAAAGAGCTTTCACAATTAGAAGTAAAATGCATGGGTAAAGGAGTTAAACTTGCACTTAGGAGAAGGAGTTGCAAGTATAAGAGAACATGAGGGGAGGAGGGGACCTGGGACCTGGTATTGCAGTCTTTCCCGGCAAGGGTTAATATCTTTTTTTTTTTTTTTTAAGAATTATTTATTTAATTTTATTTATCATTGTCATTATTCTTCTATTTGCTACAGGGCACATATACACACCAAAGAGAGACAGAGAGAGATAGAGGGAAAGTGGAAAAGCAAACCACCTGGTCCAGGACTTGAACTGAGGTTGGCCATGTGGGAGTTCAGTACCCCAACCACCATACCACCTGCTGACCCAAGGGTGTATATCTTGTGCCAGCCTCATCTTACCTCGGCCAGCAGCACTATCCTCTTGCCATCAGGCCATATCACATGGTCAACTTGGGATCTCACCCGCTCCCAGGTCAGTTCTGGTGTCCGCAGACTCGCCTGGAACACACAGTGTGAATACAACATCAGTCGTGGCAAGTCCCACTCTGGGGACAGAAAGACGTTGAAGGGAGCTGTTTCAAATAACAAGTTGAAAGAAGCAACCAACATGCCAGATGGAAAATACCTGTCCTGGGTTGATTAGAACTGTTCCATTTCAGAGAATTTAATCTTAGGCCCAGCCAGGGAGGGATCACTCAGGATATCATTCCACAACATCTACTGTACGCCCACTCTCTGCTGAGCACAGTAAAAGGTGCTACAGGAAATACAAAAGAAACCAAAGACATGGTTTCTGCCTTCAAAAAACTTGTACTTTAGTCTGGGACACAAAACAATACATATGTGAAAGGGAAAAATCCTTTAAAATACCTACAAAGCAACATGCAAACAAGTGCAAATTAATACAGTGCAAACGGAATACGTAAGTGCTGAAGAGACAAGAAGAACAGGAGAATCAGAGCTGAATGGGGTTAGAAAAGGCTAAATGTCTTAAACATCGCATGCTGGGACCCAAGGGTCTGCCCTCATGTCCCAATGTCAACAGGTTCCACCTTCTCAATGATGGTGGTTTACCCGCAAGGTACAGAAGCTTTGTGACCTAAGTGCGACATGTGAAGTAGCCTTGAAAGAATGCTTAATGGCAAAGCTCCCAAAAGCTCACCCTCCTTCTACTTCTGTATATTGTATATCCAGAGAACAAGAGAAAAAATGTTAAGTTGATTAACAGCGGCAATCATGTAATAGTCACAGGGCATGGACTGAAGACAGTGACTTCTTCCAACAAGCAATGCCTACACTACAAAGAGAGGTCATACTCCAAAACCACCCACTGATTCATTTGATAAAATCAGGACCTTCTATCAATAGTAGTTTTCAAACAAACACAGAAAAACACTTTTAGTTATACAATAATCATTGACATACCATAGTCTAGGCTTTATAGTAAAGGATATAGATAGAGATAAGGCTGTGGTTCCTTTCCTAGACTGGGAGCAGCATCTTCCTTCCACTTTTGTATACCCAAGGTCTATCTAAACATACAGTGGGATGCTCAATTAGTGTTAGAAATTCATGGTCCCTAAGTCTGGGGACACCAATCTAGTGGAAAAGACAGATATATAACTATTTCAGTTATTCAGAATGGTACAAGAGGTTTTAAAAAAGTTCATGGAAGATGTACTTTTTAAAATGTACTATGAAAAAAACTATGCATGGATTTTAAAAAAAAATCTTCGTACCAAAATAAACTTACACAGTAATTCTATTCTTCTTTTAAGTTTTTAAGGCAGGGTCTTTGCTGTGTCATGATTCTCCCATCCCAGCCTCCCAGCTGGTACTTCAGGTGTGAACCACCAGCTCCAGTGCTTTTTCAGGCATGGTCTCTCTGTAGACCATGCCAGTCTTAAGACTGACAGCCTCCAGCCTCAGCCTCCCAAGTCACTGGGAATCGAATCTGGGCCTCCCTCGTACCCCAGTCTGTGGAGCACAGCCTGTACCACTGTGGCTGTGCATCACAAACCTTCTGAAGTCCTCTTGTATTCACAGTCTGCATCATTTCTTTTCTTTTTTTAAAAAAGAATTATCTTATTTAACTTTATTTATTTATTTAAATTTGATCAGAGAGGGACAGAGAGCAAGAGAGAGACAGAGGGAAAGTGACAAAGCAAGCCGCTAGGTCTAGGACTTGAACCACAGTCAGCCATGTGGGAGTCCAGCGCCCGTAACCACCACGCCACCTGCTGGCCCCTGCATCATTTCCTTATTAGGTAGATGAGAAACACAAAATTTGAGATACAAAGTTTCATACATTGGTTCAACCTTTTTTAGAGCAAATTTGTCTGTAGCTAACAAAATGTTATATGTTCCTAATCTTTGACCAACTAATTTCATTTTTAGGGCTCTATCCTATAGACACACTTGCTTAAATTCAGAAATGTATGTGCTTAAGTATGTTTAGTACAGTGTTATTGTAATAGCAAAAATGTAAGTCAAAAAGAGAATGGCAGGTCAGCCCCATAGTACAGTAATTAAGTACTGCATGGAGGAAGCCAGATCCCACATGGCTGACCAGGGTCTGAATCGTGGTCCTGGTAGCAACACACTTGGTATATGTGTGCCCAGGACTCTGACAGGATGGAGAACTGGCAGAAGAAAAATTGCAGTATGACCAGATTACATTAGGGATGCTTTTTCCTCTCTCTCTCTCATCCATATGTGCCACCTCTATCATGAATAAACAGAAAAAAGTTAAAAGAACAACAACAAAGGAATGGCTAGGTTATCTGAATAGTCCCATACAATGGAATATTATGCAATTATTTTTTTTAAAAAAGGAGTAGACTATATGGTAACATAAAAACCATCCATATTAAGTGAAAAAAATCAAGTTGAAGAATAATACAGTATAACCTAGATTTGAAGTTTTTTAGTTCTTTTTTTTAAAATTTGTTATAGGGCACATGGGTCATAATCATGTCGCAATTCCTTCTCCATTTCCCCTTCCTTTCAAGATTTTGGGTATGCACACACATGCCTGGCATGTTTTTAAAGCCATTGGGTCTGAGGCTTGAACCACACAGCTAGCCATGCAGAATTCAGCTGCATTAACCACCATGTCACCAGGTGGCCCAGTTTTTGACTTATTTTAAACATATTGTTAAAAGGTTTTTTTTTTAAGAGAGAGTTTTGCTACAGAGCACGTGCGCTTGCCAGAAAGACAGAGAGAGACATAGAGCCAGAAAGCAAGGAATCACCCCCAGGGGGATGACCACACCGCAATCCCTTTGCCTCATTCTTGTCTCAGGGTCTTGGGCATGCATGCAGACATGCCTGGCATGAGTTTTAAGCCACCAGGTTCAGGACTCAAACCATGGTCGACTACATGGAAGTCCAGCGGGGCAACCAATACACTATCTGCTGGTCTCTATATTGTTTACATTTTAAAAAGTTATTTGTTTTATTTATGATAGAGAACATGTGTGTGTGCATGAGCCAGAAAGCAAGAGGAAGAAGCACCGTTGACAAGTCCTTGGGTCTTGTCATGCTGTAATCCCCTTTCCTCAGCCCTGTAGCACTTCAGGATTTGGGGCATGTGCCCCCCCATGCCTGACCCAGGGATCAGAACCTGCCATTGCCATGTGGCTTCCACCTCTGCAGTTCAGTTTGCTGCCAAAAACACCACTAGGCTGGGCCGTGGTTGAATTTTGAAACTATGGAAGTATTGCTAAATTAGGAATTTTAAAAGAAAATTTATAAATACTGAAAATAGAGTTTAAAAGAATTTACTCAAATGGATGATTTGGGGAATTTAAAGATATACAAGGTAAATCTCTTAGTTTTTGCAAGTATCACAGTGGAAGGTAATAATCCCATAAAGTTATGAAACACTCCTTGATTCCACTGGCATTTTTTATTAAAATGCGGCTTTAAGGTACATTATGCTTTTACTGTTTCACATTCCCAATCTTCCAGAGGACAAGCAAGCCTTTTGATTGGGAGCAAAGAGTTGAGGCCATAATTACAAGTCTCCTGTCTTAGGAAGTATTCTTGGGAAAGAAAAGATGTGAAATCAAGAAAAAGACACAGTTTTAAAAATTTTATAGGAGCCAGCAGGTGGCATAGTGGTTAAGGTGCCGGATTCCCACATGGTCGACTGTGGTTTGAGTCCTGGACCCTGTGGCTTGAAACTCACACTGGGCGCCTGTGCGTGCCCCAAATCCCGAGGAAGAATGGAGGAGAAAGGATTGTGGCATAGCCATCCCTGCTGGGGGTGGTGATTTCTCATTCTTTGTCTCTGGTGAGCACATGTACCCGAAGGTAAAAATCTCTTTAAAAAAATGCACATGGTTAGTTTCTTCAAGTTTGCTCAAACATCACCTTCTTAGTAAGGCTCACAGCTCGATCGCGCTGTATAAAATACTAACCCAGTGCTCAGGTCCTCTTACATGCTTTATTTTTTCTTTCATCCGTGGTATTACTGCCTTCTAACATACTATACACTTCATTTACTATGTTTATTGTGCCCTTCTTTTCATCATAATATGAGCTCTATGAGGCCAGGAGTCTTGGCCTATTTTTTGCATCTAAGCACCTAGAATAGCACCTGCATATAGCAATCACACAAAAACATCTGTGGTTGAAGGTAAAAAACCTTCTGGCCCAGGGGCCAGTTGGTGGCATGGTAGTAACTCAACTGGACCCACAATGGAAAGGTACTGGGTTCACTTCCTGGAGCTTCCAGGTGCATACTGGGTGTGCACATGTGCCTATGATCTGGGCTGGCTGAAGCTCTAAGTGGATCTCAGCATGAGGACCCTGTTAGGGGTTGCCTGTCTCTTTGTGTGTGTATCTCTTTCGTGGAAGAACTAAAGTAAATAAGCTTAAAAAAAAAAATAGGTCTTTCGGATTTTATCCTGAGAGATGACTCATGTTTGGTGTGCCTTGAGAGGAGAGACTACCATCAAGATTTGAAGTTATCTATAAGTTAGAAAGAGGTAAAAATACCACATATGGGGACCAGCAGATAGCATAATGGTTATGTCACTGGACTCCCACATAGTCGGCCATGGTTCAAGTCCTGGACTGGTGACTTAAAATTCACCCTGGGTGCATGTGTCTGCATGTCCAAAATCCCAAGATGAGAATAGAGGAGAGAAAACTGCAGCATGGTCATCCCCTCAGAGGGTGATTTCTCACCATCTGTCTCTATCTTTCTGGCAAGCACACAAGCCTTATAGCAAAAATCTCTCTCTCTCCAGAAACAAACAAACAAACAAACAAAAAACAAACAAAAAAGCCCCACGTGCAGAATAACAAAATGAGGGACCAGCAGATAGCATAATGGTTATGTCTGGACTCCCAGGTAGTCGGCCATGGTTTGAGTCCTGGACCTGGTGGCTTGAACTCATGCCAGGTGCGTGTGTGTGCATGCCCAAGATCCTGAGAGGAGAGAGGATTGGAGCATGGCCATCCCCCCTGCAGGGTGATTCCTTGCTTTCTGTCTCTCTGTCTCTCTTTGTCTTTCCAGTGAGTGCACACACCCTATAGCAAAAATCTCTCTAAAGTAATAATAATAATAATAATAACAATAACAACAACAAAATGAAATAAAACACAAGGCTAGGGAGGCCAGGTGGTGGCACAGTGAAACAACATGATGCTCTGTGAGGCAGACCCATCTGGGAAGTTGACCAGCTGACAGCTGGAGAACTCCCTGAGTATGCCAGGCATGCATGTGCCCATGATCTGGGCTGGCTGAGGCTGAGGGTGGATCATGGTGTCCACACCCTGCCAAGGCTGCTGTATTACTTGCTGTGTCTCTTTGTCTCTGTCTCTCACTCATATAATAAATACATTTATTTTTTTAATTGCCAGAGGGTGCACACAGTTGCCAGAGAGAGAGAGAGAAAGAGAGAGAGAGGATAAAAGCACTCCCAACAGAATATGGTCACACTGCAATCCCTTCTCCATTTCTCCATCCTGTTGGGATTTGGGGCACACATGCACACGTATATGGGTTTTTTCCAAGCTGCTGGGGCCAGAATTTGAACTGCAGTTGGCCATGTGGATTCTGGCTCCCTTAATCACTACTTTAAAAGGCTAGTGCCAATAAACTTAAAAAAAAAAAAAAAAAAAAAAAAAGGACGCTAGACTAGGGAGTCAAAAAACCTGGATTATCATTCCGAATCAATTATATGACTGTCAACATCTTACAGTTTTTAGGTTCCTCATCAAAAGTGAAGAATGAGAATAATGCTGGGCCAGCCAGTTGCATAGTGGCTAAGGCTCTTGGATCCCACATAGCTGACTGCATGGTTTAAGTTCTGGAACCAATGGCTTGAAAACACACTGGGCTCATGTGTGTGCATGCTCAACATTCTGAAAGGAGGGAGAAATGGAGAAGAAGGGATTTTGGTATGATCATCTGCCCTAGGGGTTGCTTTCTCACTTTCTCTCTCTCTATGTTTCTTTGGTGAGCACGTGGCCTCGGTAAACTAAAAAAGCAAAAGAATGCCTCATGGAGTGGTCAAGAAGATGGAATGAAATACAGTAAAAATATAAGAGGGATATGGTTACACTCAGTTATTTTTATTTCAGAGTTTTGTGAGGTAATCTTACCTCATAATTTTACAGAATAACTTCAAATTGTGATGGTAGTCCTTCCTCCTGAGGTAGACTAGACATAAGTAATCTCTCAGGATAAAGTCCAGAAAGCTCTTTTTTCTTTTCTTTTTAAAAGGTATTTGCCACAGGGCATGTATGCTTGCCAGAAAGAGAAAGAGACAGGAAAAGTGAGAAATCACCCCTCTGGGGGATGGCCTCACCACAGTCCTTTCTTCTCTATTCTGTCAGGATTTTGGGCACGCATGTATATGTGCCCAGCACGTTTTTCAAGCCACTGAGTCCAGTATTTGAACTGTGGTCAGCCATGTGGGAATCGAGGGTCTTAACCACCATGCTACCTGCTGCTCCCCTCCCCCCCTTTTTTTAAAGTTTATTTATTTTAGGGGACCAGCAGTTAACGTAATGGCTATGTCGCTATGGCTAACTCCCATGTAGTTGACCACGGTTCAAGTCCCGGACCCAGTGGCTTAAACTCACGCCAGGCGCGTGTGCGTGCGTGCCCAAGATCCCGAGAGGAGAATGGAGGAGAAGGAATTGTGGCATGGCCATCCCCCCTGGGGGGTGATTTCTCGCTTTCTATCTCTCTGTCTCTGTCTTTCTGGTGAGTGCATGTGCCCTGTAGCAAAAATCTCTCCAAAAAAAAGAGAGAAAGTTTATTCATTTTATTTCTTCCATGAGAGAGAGAAGGAGAGAGAGAGATAAAACATTCCTTCCCTCTTCCCCAGCTCTGTAGATTTCACATTAGGGCCGAGCATGTTAAGGATGCTCCTCTTTTGGCTTTCCCATTTGGGTTCTACAGCACAATCATATGCCATAGAATTTTAGAAATATTAACATCTTGTTATCATTTGATAAAAGAGCAGAATGGCATGTAAGGAAAAAAGAGAATAGGGATGCTCGGGAGAAAATGAGCAACAGACATAAGAGTCTGTGTAAACAAGTGGAATAGGTTACGGAACTGTATACCACAGTTGAGTAAACATTTAGCTGACAATTCAATATATTCTTACAAAAAATTGTGATCAAATGCACACATTATATGAAGTTCAATGTGAAGGCAATGAGTTTGTCTGTACAGTTGATTTGGTTGTTATACTCCACATGCATATTTTGAAAAACCATACTGAATCCCATGAAGATGTACAATGAATACTTGTAAACCAGGAATCATAATTAAAAATAAAACAAACAAACAAAAAAACCCTTAAACAAAAGCAAAAGAGAAAAGAAAAAAAAATTACCAACTAAATTATTCACTGTAAGCAAAATATCATGGTAAGACAGAGTAGAGGAGACTTGTCACTCAGATATCCCAGGGCAGAAATAGACTTTGGTAGGTTGCTTTGCCAGCTATTTTTAATAATAGAAGAATAGAGCACAGAGTTAAAAAGAGAAACCTTATAAAATAGATATTATCCAACAGGTTCTTAATATACCATCTGATCCTCTTCCAGGCAATGCTGAAGCTCAATCAGGGCAGCCCTCAGTAGAGATGAAAGCATGCCCTGCTTGAGCCAGTTGCCCAGAGACAAACACAGTTGCACCATAAAAGTACCACAAATTCAAAACCAGAGTTAATGTCACACTGAGAGATCTTTTTAAACCTACTTTGGTAGGTTTAAAAAGAAATGAATAACAATTCTATTAATTATTATCTGAGTGACATATTAGGAGTACATGCTACGATGGCTTGGAAGATTTTAGGATGAACGTAAGCAAATTATAGAACCAAAGTGATAATTTTTTTAAAATTATTTTTTATGTAGTTTTATTTATTCATTTATTTATTTTAATTTGACTAGAGAGAGAGAGGAAAGTACGAAAGCTAAGCCGCCAGGTCCAGGACCTGAACCATGGTCAGCCATGTGGGCGTGTCCAGCACCTTAACCACCACGCCACCTGCTGGTCCCAAGGCGATGGATTTTTCAAGTTAGAAAAACACATGCTACTATCCATGGCACTGGATTGATTGTGACACCGACGCAATTTCTATCATTCAGAAAATACATTATGAATGTTCACTTCAGCAGTACATATACTAAAATTGGAATGATACAGAGAAGATTAACATGGCCCCTGTGCAAGGATGACATGCAAATTCATGAAGTGTTCCATATTTTTAGGTAAAATTGGTTCTCTGACTTAAAAAAAAAAAAAGAAAGTACATTAAGGGAAGATTTAGCCCAGTAAAAGGGGGAGAGACAAGAAGAAACCACAGTAGGAGGGATTTTAAAAAGTTTGTGGAGGGCTGGCCCATGGCCTACTGCCGCGGGAGCCAGATCCTACTTGGCCAACCACAGTTTGAGTCTTAGCCCACGTGGCTTGAAGAACATGGCAGGTGCATGTGGGTTCATGCCCCGGAGGATATGGAGAAATGGAGGAGAGAGGCCTGTGACATGACCATTAGGGAGTGCTTCCTCCCGCTCCCTCATCTGACCTTTTCTGGTGGGTGCATGTGCTCTCTGGCAATTAAAACAAAAAAGGTTTCTGAAAAATGAAATTAAAATACTCGTTTATTTTGGTGAAAATCATATTGAAATCCATGCATAATTTTTTCAGGATACACATTTCCCATGAACTTTTTATTTATTTATTTTTTTGAAGAGAGGTTTTTGACATAGGATGCATACGCTTACTGGAAAGACAGAGAGAGACAGAAAGACAGAAAGCAAGAAATCACTCCCAATGAGGGATGGCCACACCACAATCCCTTCTCCTCCATTCTCCTCTCAGGATCTTGGGCACACATGCACACGCACCCAGCATGAGTTTAAGCCACTGGGTACAGGATTCGAACCACGATCAATAGCATGGGAGTCCAGCAATGTGACCATTAGGCCCTCTGCTGGTCCCCTCCCATGAACTTTTTAAAGACATCTTTTATTTGACAGGCAATCTTTTCTTTTTCTTTTTCTGGAGAGGTTTTTGCTATAGGGCGCGTGCACTCGCCAGACAGAGAGACAGAGAGACAGAAAGCAAGAAATCAAGAAATCACCCCCCGGGGGGATGGTCATGCCATAATCCCTTCTCCTTCATTCTCCTCTCAGGATCTTGGGCACGCACGCACATGCGCCCGGCGTGAGTTTAAGCCACCAGGTCCGGGACGCGAACCGCGGTTGACTACGTGGGAGTCCAGTGACATAGCCATTACGCTGACTGCTGGTTCCCAGGCACAGTCAATCTTAAGCAACACACTCATCTCAGCCCATAGATTTCTCTCTTTGACTCATATCCTTGGACCAACCTTATTTCACCTATAAGGTAAAATCAAACGTCCTTGAAATTCTATCAAACTGAATCATAATCATTGCATATCCTTTTTGTAGTTTTGAGTTGACTCAGCTCTCAATCTTAAAAATGAAGATAAAATGGCTTACAGTATAAGTATAAGCAGGAATCAAACTTGTGTGGAAGAAGATAATCACCCAAAATGATTAAGCTGAGGTGAAGGAGCTTTATAGAATCTCCAAGCACAGGCCAGAGGGCTGGTAAGTGAAATGTGAACAACCCTGCCAGAACAGTCCTGCTTAGGATGGCTGGTGACCCTGTTCTTTCTTCTTCCAGTTTTTTCTTGAGAAAGAGAGTAAAAGAGAACCCCGAAATAATGAGCCACTGGGTCTTACCACGTCAATCTCTGTGTTGGAATGTCCCATGTTACAGACAATGCAACTATTCTTCATACGGTCCAAGTGCTCTCTGGTAACTACGTTCTTGTTACCTTAAAAACAAGAAATAACCACATAAAAATTGAAGTTGGACTCATATCTCATACAATATGTAAACATTAACTCAAAATTGACCATAGTAAGAGCTAAAATTATAAAACTCTTTAGAACATAGGTCAAATCTTGAGTTGAGCAATGGTTTTTTAGATACAACATCTAACACACAGGCAACCAAAGAAAAAGTAAACCAGACTACACAACAAGTAAAGATTTCAAAAACTTTATTTATGTATTTATCTCTTCCATGAGAGAGACAGAGAGAGAAATAGAAAGAAAGAGAAAAGCATCCCCAACAGGCTACTCACACCATGCTCTACCCCTAGTCTCATGAGCACTAGTGTGGTCAGGGAGGGCCTGGGATGCAAACTCAGGACCCTTCCCATGTGAGTCCAGTTGGGTTACCTATACACTACCACCTGGCTCCAAAAAAATTTTAAAAAAAATTTTTTTCTGCCAGAGTTCTCATGTACTTCCTGGAAAGAGACAGATAGAGAGAAAGAGGAAGTGAAAAAGCATCCTCCATGGAATATGGTTATACTAAAATCCCTTCTCCTTCATTTATTCCTCCTTACAGGATCTGGAGCATGTGTGTGTGTGCCCAATGTTTCTCAAGTTACCAGGTCTACAACTTGAACAACGCAGTTGGCCTTATGGAATCCAGCTACCTTAACTACTTGTACCATGGACTGGACCCCACACAAAAACTTGTAGATAATGTTTACAGCAGCACTATTCATAATAGCCGAAAAGTAAAACTAACCCAAATGTCTATCAACTGGATAAATAAAATGTGTTATGGCCATATAATGGAATATTATTCAGCAAGAGAAAGGAATGAATGGACCTTGAAAACATCATGCTAAGTAACAGAAGCCAGTCACAAAAAGTCTACATATTGAAAGGCCAGCAGGCAGTGCAGTGGTTGAGGTGCTGGATTCCCACATGGCTGACTGCAGTCTGAGTCTCAGACCCAGCAGCTTGAGAATCACGCCAGCCAAGTGTATGTGCATGCACAAAATCCTGAGAGAAGAATAGAGGGGGGGACTGCAGGGTGGCTATCCCCCCAGGTGGGTAATTTCTCACTGTCCCTGTCTCAGTCTCTTTCCAGCAAGCGCATGTGCCTTACAACAAAAATCTAAACAAACAAACAAAAAACCCCAAATTATATAATAAATTATTCTATTTATATGAAACATCTAGAACAGGCAAATCCGTAGTGATAGAAATATTAGTGATTGGGCCAGCACAAGTCTGGTGGTTAAAGTGGCTGGATCCCACATGGCTGACCCCATGGTTTGAGTCCTGGATCAGGCAGCTTGAGAAACACACAGGGTATGTGTATATGATGCCAAAAATCCCCAAAGGAGGGGGAGAGAGAGGAGAAGAGATTGAGATGTGACCATTCCACACAGAGATGATTTCTCTCTCTCTGGAAGCACATGTATACTCCAGAAAAAATTTTAAAACAAGAAAGAAAGATGGATTAGCATTTGTTGAGGGCTGGATGAAGATGGAGCACAGAATAAGGAGTGAATACTAATGGTATGGGGCTTCTTTTTTGGATGATAAAAATGTTCTGGAATTAGATGATGGGAATATTACATGACTTTAATAAAAAACACCAGACTGTCCACTTTTTTTTTTTTCAAGGAGGTTTTTGCTATAGGGTACGTGCGCTCACCAGACAGACAGAGACAGAGAGACAGAAAGCAAGAAATCATCCCCCAAGGGAGATGGTGATGCCACGATCCCCTCTCCTCCATTCTCTTCTCAGGATCTTGGGCACGCACGCACACACGCCTGGCGTGAGTTTAAGCCACTGGGTCTGGGACTTGAACCGTGGTCGACTACATGGGAGTTCAGCGACATAGCCATTATAGTAACTGTTGGTCCCCAGACTGTCCACTTCAAAAAGGGTAAACTTTATGATATGTAATGTATACTTTAAAGGGTGATCTTTATGGTATGAGAATTATACTTCAATAAAAAAAAGATCATTGCTATGGTTGTACAACCTTGTAAATTTACTATTAAACATTGAATTAAACACTTTATTTATTTATTTAGGTTTTTGCTATAGGGAGTGTGCCTAGCTGGAGAGACAGAGAGAAAGAGAGAAATCACCCCCTCCTCCCAAGGGGGATGGTCATACTACAATTTCTTCTTCTCCATTCTCCTCTTAGGATACTGGGCATACATGCACACATGCCTGGCATGAGTTTCAAGCCTCCAGGTCCAGGATGTGAACCACAGTCGTCCATATGGGAGTCCAGTGACCTAACCACTATGCCACCTACTGGCCCTGAATTGTGCATTTTAAATGGATGAAATGTATGGTATGTGAATCAGATCTCAGTATAGCTATTAAAAAAGAAAAAAAGGGAAAGAAATCCAGGGGATCAATCTGAAGTAAGAACAGGTTCTTATGGCCCCTCTTCTCTACACCTAGTCTCCCTGAGGTTATAAATACATTCTGATATTCCTCCCTCTAATATAGGATTATAAAATAAAGCCAGTGTTCTTGTAGACTATGGTTCCATATTAAAAATGAAAGAAGTATTTCAGTCTAAGGAAACTGGCTATCTCTGCATTTTCCTCCCTAAAACTCAAAAATCTACCTCTTATGGAATTAACAAAATAACTTCTCCCACTTTCTCTAACCATGAAGAATTTTGTTCTAGTCTTGCCTTAATTATAGGGACTAGAAACACACATCACTTTTAGAGGCATAATAAAAAAATCAAAGTACAAATTTAAAATCTGGCTGCTCAAATAAAACTCTGCAAATGAATCTCATGTCTAGCCATATCCTAGGTAACCGAAGATGGATGGTGATCACTATTGCTTGGATGTCCCCTACCCCAAAATTTATGTGTTGCGATTTGGCTGTGATGGTATTAAGAGGGTGAAAAGTTGGTTCACTATGGTATTGAGGGGTGGGACCTTTGGGAGGAGATTAGGATTAAGGTAATTAGGGTTGGACCCCAGATTGACTCCTGGCATGTTTATAACAAGAGAGAATGAGACTAGAGGAGAGAGACCTGGACACAGAAGCTCTGCTCTGTGCATGCCCCTGCCCTCTGACATGCTCTGATGTAGCTAGGAGACTCTCAGAGATGCTGGCACCATGCTGTTGGACTTCTCAGCCTCTAAAACCATGAGCTAAATAAAGTTCTATTCTCTTAAATGACCCATACTCAGGTATCTCTGTTATTAGCAACAGAATGGAGCTATAACAGTTATAAAGGGAAGAGAGAAATTTTTCTATAGGGATAACCTACTGGTATACCCTTGGGCAGAGTTCTAAAGATGCAGGGAGAATGTGAAAGAATGGTTTTATGGAATTACTATCTCTGGCTCTTAGAGTCTGGTTCTATTAAAAGCATTTCTAATTATCTTTCACTTACTCCATGAAAGCTTCCCAAGTGCCACCCCGTTAAATATGTTACAATCGTACCTGTACAGGTAATAACAATGTCCACTTGTCGGATGACCTCATTTAATTTCACCAATCGAAATCCATCCATACTGTAGGAATAAAGCATGACCAATTAACGTAGAAAGGCAGCCAGGGAGACTTTTGCCTTAGAACCTCAAAAACTATTACTAAGTAATAGTTTTGTTACCTACATTGTCACTTCTTGAGATAGCTATTCTATTCTTAGCCATAAAAAATCTGAACCATTTCTCTCACGTCATCGGCATTTACTTCTTCCTGATAATAGTGAGCTGGGGATTACCAAGCGATCCCTTGACCAAGTTTCTAGAAAGTCCTTTTAGTCACTGAATTTACTAATTGAAACTGCTCTCCCCAGATCATTGATGATCTCTTGAAAGCCAAAAACTTAAGTATTTCTTAGACTTTTGTATTACCTGATTTCTTCTTCTATGTTAAACATTATTTATCTCTAAAGACTCTGTGATATTTTTCTCTCCTGGTTTTTCTCCTACTTTTATGTCTCTTCTCAACATCAATCAACCTCTAAACCCTGGTACCCTGTAGGGTTATGCTTTTGACATTTCTCTAGTCTTTAAGTACTCATCTACACTCTTCCTTTGGGTGCGGATAACTACACACAGAGGGATGATTTACATGTTCATATCTTTAACTTAGATCTTTCCAACACTTCATAGCCATGGATCAAATTCTCCACTGGGCAGCAGCTCAGGAATGTCTGTCCTAGAAGGATCTCAAACTTACCATATTTGAAAATAAACTCGTTACAGTCCACAAGATCCTCAATCTCATCTATATTTTCTATAATTTCTACTTTGATTAATTGCATCATTAGTCACCCAACTATATACTAGAATGTCCTAACCTACTATCTCTCCCTAATTGAAGTTGTCACCAAATTTGGCTGATGCTTCGTCCTTTTTTTGGAGAGGTTTTTGCATGTGCTTGCCAGAAAGACAAAGAGAGACAGAGAGACAGAAAGCGAGAAATCACCCCCCAGGGGGGTTGGTCATGCCGCAATCCCTTCTCCTCCATTCTCCTCTCGGGATCTTGGGCACGCATGCACATGCGTCCAGTGTGTTTAAGCCACCGGGTCCAGGACTCGAACAGCGGTCGGCTACATGGGAGTTCAGCGACACAGTCATTACAGTAACTGCTGGTTCTGATGCTTTGTTTTAATTCCTTAAAAGTCTTTTGAATCTGTCCCCTCCACTCCACATATGCTAGCCTTGCTTAAATTCAGGTCTTACTACTTCTTGCCTAGATTACTGTAGTAAACCCTAGCCCAATCTCATTGCTTCTATGTTTACCTCTCTTTAAATCATTTTGCAGAGTGATTTTCCTAAATGCGATCTAAATCATATCACTTCCTGCCAATATAATAATATATGATTCCTATGAGTTCTACCTCAGATATTACCACTTCCCCTAATTTTCCTGTCAGTTACATTAAAATATCTACACCTTCATTTTTTAAAAAGGTTTTTGCCATAGGTTACGTGTTTCACTGGAGAGAGAGAGAGATAAAGAGAGGGGGAAAGTGAGAAATCACCCTTGGGGGGATGGCCACAGAACAATCCCCTCTCTTCCATTCTCCTCTTGGGATTTTGGGCACACACACACACACAAACCAGGTGTGTTTCTCGAGCTGCCAGGTCTTGGATTCAAAATGCGAAGTTGGCCATGTGGGTCCAGTGACTTAACTACCACGCCACCTGCTGGTCCTATTTACAACCTCCTTTTTTAATTTAATATTTTTCACCATAGGGCATGGGTGCTCACTAGAGAGAGACAGACAGAGACTGAGAAAGGAAAAGTCAGAAACCAGCCCCCAAGGGGGAATGGCCATGCTGCAATACCTACTCTATTCTCTTCTCAGGATTTTGGGCACACAAGCACATCTGCCTGGTATGATTTTCAAGCTGCTGGGTCTGGGACTGAAACCACGGTCAGCCATGTGGGAATCCAGCACCTTAACCACCATGCCACCTGCTGGTCCCTATTTAGCTTCTTAAATAGGCTGTGCTATCTCCTTCCATGTTCTCCATTCCTGGAATATACTTCCAAACTAAAAAAAATTCACATAAAGTTCAAGACTTGGCCCTACTGACATTGCCTTCTCCTTGCTCTTCAGTTCAGAAATCCCTTCTTTGCATTCCTACAGCATGTGCAGTTTACCTACATGTCAGCACTTACTATAATGCACAGTGGCTATTTGTCTCTGTGCTTCTAAAGCAGGACCTCACCTCGTACATCTGTTATCCTATTCACCCTCAGCACACAGCACAGTACCTAATAAACAGTAAGTGACCATTTCGTGTCTGGAAGATCATCTGAAGAGCACTGCAATCAGCAGTGAACAAGTTCAAGTTTCACAATGAACCCGAGAGTGCTGGAAGGTGGTGGTTCCTCTGCATGTGACAACCCTGACTGCAGAAAGCCAGCGATTCTCTTGGGGACATCTGTGGGTTTCTGGCTAGGAAGTGTGAGAGTTGGGGGGGGTGGGAGTGCCATGCCTTATTCTATCCTGGAGACCTTCCTCTGGAGGGCTAATGTAAAGACAAGGTGGAAGATCCAGGCTAGAGACCCTTGGATCATACAAGAGTTTTCAGGAATAGTGGTATTCCCCCGATCTTGCTGAAAATAGCAAGACACACTTTTAATAACTGCTACCATTTAACAAGCACTTATTATGTGACAGCAGCTCTGTATGGTCTATAATTACATATTTATTATACCACAAGTAATAATAAATAGTAATTATTTTATTAAACTCTCAAACCTATGAGGTAGTCCCTCATGTTTTTTTCTTTGTTCTTTCTTTTTTTTTTTACAGATAAGAAAGAAATTCTTTTCTTTTTAACTTTGAAATAATTTCAAACTTAAAAATTAGAAAAATAGTAAAAAACACTTCCCATATACCCCTTCCTAGGAGTTAGCAGATTTTGTCCTTAATTGAGATTCGTCTGATGTCTCCTCATGATCAGATTAAGGTTACACACTTTTAGGAGGAAAGCCACAGAGGGCTCTTTTGAGAGTGTCACATTGCCAAGCACCTGGTGCCAGCCGTTGTCTTTTTGATCGTTATTTTCAATGGGACAGAGATTATATTTGGAGAAGGTAAGAGGGTATTTATTCTCTGACTCAAAGTATCCCCTATTACTGTTCCCATAATATTGCGCCATTGGGAAAGTCATGACACATTTTTGCACAGAAAATTAAGTCAGGACTTTCCCGACAACCTAATAATTCTGTATCTGGGCTTCTCTAATAAACAGACTCTGATCTCTCAGAGCAGAGTTCCTCGGCCTTTGAAAGACAAGCTTACAGGAGTGGCAGTCTCTTGCAGGATCTAGGCTGCTTTAAGACAAGATCGGCATTAAGCAGGCCATTCTTGAACGCAGCTCCAAGATCACATGTTAGATTGGGGTGCAGAGGGGGAGGCAAGCCTCCCTACGTGCTCACCAAGCTTGCAGGGCACAGATGGGGTCGATCTCAGTCACATACACGATGGAGCCCATGGCTTTCAGAGCGGCACAGCACCCCTTCCCCACCTGATGGAGGAGAAAGCATATAACAAAGCAAGTCTACAAGAAAACAGCTTCTCAAAGCTTGTGCTGAAGTGCATCCTTCTTCCTGCCCCCAAAAGAAATTTCGCTGAATAGATTTATTCTTGGGGAAAAACAAGAAAAACAAATACTGAATGCAGTTGATAAACGAACCCCTGGCCCCTGCTTAGCACATTCATGTGCATAAGAACACCCACACTCACGATTTATAATCAAAACACAAGCTAAAAGAACATCACAAACAATGGTGCTGATTCAAATAAGCCAGAAAAGCAACTTAAGGGAAAATGGTAAAAATGCAAAAAGAAAAATAAAGACTTGCACTTTCACCTCTAGAGTTACTTTTTTCTCATCAAAAGTGGTAAACAGATGTGCTCTTATGTCTATACAATTGAAAACTCTAGAATATTTCTGCAAAATACATTTCAATACCTAAGAAGTGCAAAGTTAAACTTTACCTCTCCATAGCCACAGACCACCACTTGCTTGCCACCAAACATCATGTCTGTTGTCCTTTTAAGTCTGTGGGGGAAAACCAACATTAAATTAGAAAAATCTTATCTACTTTTATCCTTAAAGCTAGATTGGCTCTCTTTGTTTTCATGGTTTTAGGTTTTTTTGTTGTTGTTGTTTAGTTTTATTTTTTACTTTGAAAGAAAGCCTGATTTCTGTGGTAGAGAAACTATTTAATATTTAATGACCAGGTTGAAAAAAATATATTATTTTCTCACTCCTTGCCATCCAATCCATTCTGTCCATATGTGAGGGTTTTGTTCTACTTTCCCCTTTCCTTGGGAGGGAGGGTAGTGGGCAATAGGGTGGAGAGAAGCTCTGAAACATGCCGACACTGACTGCATGGGACAGGGAGTTGTCTGGGGTGGAGTGCTTCTTGGACACGTCCTACCTCTTCGTCTCTGATTCTCTGTGAAGCTGGCCGTTAGGTTCAATCGGTCTCCTTTCTTTAGGAATCCCAGGCTAGGCAGAAGAAAGTTTTCAACTAAAATCCAGCCTATTCTGAGATAGACAGTTCCTATAAATATTTTTTTAGGCCTTTCTAGTCACTAATCTGTTTACCTCTCTTGTTCAGAGAGTCTATAAATACCCGAAGGCAAAGTAGGAATCCTGTCTTTTCGAATGATTTGGCAGCTCTACGAAGAGAACTAATATTACTCCACATATGGTCCACAAAAAAAAGATTAAATATCAATTTACTGTGGAGGCAATTCTTGTTGAGTGAAGAGAGGAAATCTCTCTACCATACTGAAAAGTCAAGGGTAGGCGAATGGTTCTGGAATAGCTAGCACAGCAGGGGAATAAAGAGATCATATATCTGAACCTCTTTTGTGTTAACTACCCCTAAGCCTTTCCTCCTTTCTTCCCAAAGAAAGATAATCTCTCTCTCTGACTACAAATGGCTGTGAGGTTGGAAGGAAACTTCATCAGCACCATTCTGCACACCGCACAGCAAGGGTGACAGATCAGGACAATTCCAGCTAGGTGGTGATCTCCTTTGGATCTAGGGGACCCAGAGCTGCCTCAAGGGTTTTTGTTTGTTTTTTGAGAGGTTTTGCTATAGAGCGCGTGCGTTTGCCAGACAGATAGAGAGAGACAGAGAGATAGAAAGCAAGAAATCGCCCCCCAGGCGGGGTGGACACACTGCAATCCCTTCTCCTCCGTTCTCTTCTCGGGATCTTGGGCACGCACGCACATGTGCCTGGCGTGAGTTTAAGCCACCGGGTCCGGGACTCGAACCGCAGTCGACTACGTGGGAGTCCAGCGACATAGCCATTACGCTAACTGCTGGTCCCAAGCTGCCTCAAGGTTTAAAGATAAAGGAGAGAAAAGACCTCAGCCAAGGAAGGTCCGGGGATAGAATAGCTGTCTGATAGTATATGAGTCTTACCAAGTCTCTGACTTCTAGTTCTTTTACCCTGGGACTAGAAGACTTCTGGAGATGTTATCCATTTTATGAACTGAAAATCATATCTGGCTCCTTTGGAGTTACTGGGATGGCCTCATTCTTCCTGCTGCATGGACCCTCGATCTGCAGAAGGCTGGACGTGCGCTGCGTTTGGCACTGCACCCCAGTGACAGAAGTTATCTCTAGAAGTCAGCAGGGCTCTCCTGTTTTATGGTGTAGTGTGTAAGCAGCCCCCAAATACGAGAGGCCATCGTGACCCCTCCTCATATGGACTCTCTGTTGACCCAAGAATCCTCTCCTTTCCATTGTAGTCTTCCCCCAGGCATAGTTTAACTCTCCTTCATTTCTCTTGCTCTCAATTCCTCTGAGAGGAACTAATCGTGTCCCAGTTGGAAAGTTTTTCACCGTCTGAAGGTTCTAGTGAGCGTTTACTACTTAGCAGGCTTCTGGTGGATACTGGATGTTTTTGTATTTCCTCACTTCTTGTAGAAGTCTAACCTTAACTCTGGTTCTACTGCTTATCTCTTATCTCATTTTCATTCGTTTCTGATACTAAAGAATATTTCTTACTTACAGAGTAAACTGCTTAGGAGGACTTTGTTCATTGTTATGAATTAGCAAGGACAGCTTTATGCATCTTTTACTAAACCTAGTATGGACAGATTTTAGGCTCACAGATTTGAAACTTGAAAAATCTAATGGCTATTTGGTCGTGGATGAGTATTTTAATGAAATGTACTCGGATTACTATTGCTTTGATCAGCCTTAGGTATTCATCACAATAACTCTTTAAGTGGACAGAACTAGGAACAGTCTATAAACAGACTGATGGATTGGGACTTTACTAAAATGTCCAGTCTATCCAATAACACTACTGACTCCTTAGTAGTAATAATTAATAAATAGAATTTACATTGAACATTCCCCAAATAAGAAAGATTTCAAAGCAAAAATCTTCTCCTAAGATCTAACTCAACCTTAGAACTTACTGTAACAAAGTTTTAGAAAGAAGGGGGAGGGAATTACCATTAAGCAACTTATTTATTTCATTTAATCCTTATGGTAACTGAGAGGTAGGTCTTATGTCACCTTTTCATAGGTGGAGAAATGTTTGGAGAGAGGAAATAATTAGTCCAAGACCTTACAGTTAATACATGATAGAACCAGTATTCAAACCAAAGTCTTTCTGGTTCCCATGCCCATGGTGTCAGCACCTGGTAACCTCCTTGAGATCCAGACTGGTTAGTAATGTGGCCTGCAGACCCTTTCTTCATCTTCTCATTAACCTCTATATGATGGAAAGCTTGGCAATATTCTAAACAAGCTTACTGATTCACTAGAAAAGTATGGGGTCTTCCAATGAAAGAATGAACACGAGCGTGGAAACAGAAACTGCGTACTGAAAGAACATAGTACTTGGTATATATCTAAGTAGCTTTCCTTAGACTTGCAATCCTTACAGATTTGAAAAATCAGAAATGACTCTGGGAATTGACTATTTGCTCAGCACAAGTTTCCACATAGTCAGAGAATTACGTTATAGTTGGAGCTTAAGAACTGGCAACCTGACCTGGAAAAGGGTCACCAGGAACCTTTTTCTAAATCATCAAAGATAAACTTAACTTGTTTATACTGAATTCGGTTAATGACTCACAGGACTGAGAGGGTCACTAAGTAAGAACTCTGCCCACTAACTGGTAGCAGCAAGACCTCTTTCTTTTTCTTTTTCTTTCTTTTTTTTTGAGAGAGATTTTTGCTATAGGGCATTGTGTGCTCACCACAGATAGAGAGACAGAAGAAGAGAAATCACCCCCTGGGGGGATGATCATGCCATAATCCCTTCTCCTCTATTCTCTCTTCAGGATTTTGGGCTTGCATGTACACGTGCCTGGCATGAGTTTTAAGTCACCGGATCCAGGATTAGAACTGTGGTCGACTACATGGGAGTCCAGTGACGACATAACCAATGCACCATGTGCTGATCCCGCAAGCCCCATTTCTTAAGGGAAATAGCTTCTCTTGTAACAGTGGCAGTAATGGTAGTTCTAGGTTATAAGATATTGGGCGTGATGTGATAGATCCAGAGGTGCCACATGAATCATTTCCAGAAATAACCAAATGAAAAAAAAAAACAATTAGAATCTCAACACATCAATTCAAGTTCATGTCAAAGATAATAAACATTACCCATCCAGAATTGATTCACGGCAACAGTAAAGGTTGTCGAATTTCTGCTTGGTGACTGAGTCATTGACATTCATGGCTGGAACACACAGCTTCCCAGCTTTGGAAAGCTGGTACAGCCTGAGGATAAGGGGAGTCAAGAGGAACATAAAACAATGAGACAGGGCAATCGACTGTTGGTTTCACACCAGATCCCAGAAATAGGCTGATTGGGTGGAACTGAGATAAGGGGACATGACTATTTTTGTCCTCTTAGGTGGATATTGAGAAATAAAAGAGTATCTTCCTAGAGCCTAAATACAGCTTAGCAATAAAGATCTTATTCAAAAGTCCTATGGGGAAAATCCTTTCGTCACCTCTAAATTTTCAGGCTTTAAATGTCAAATTTTAAATTGCACATTAATCTTATTTCCTTTTTTAATTAGAAAAGGAGTAACTTCAAGTACTATTTTTAAAAAAATGTATTATATAATGCCACTACCCTAATGAAACAATTTTAACTTTGAAATAGTCTCAAATTTATAACCTCAATATACATACCTGTAATATGCATGTCTATATAAATGGAGTCAATTAAATTATAACTATATATTTTGTTCAAAATTTACCTCTAAGAGTCTGAAGATATGTTATAGTCCATAGTTTTATATATTCAAAAAGATCACAGTATATGAGCAGTGATGGTGGCTTCTTTAGAATTTACTTCCTTGAACTCATTTCATACTTTCAGTTCTTTTTTTGTTTGTTTGTTTGGAGAGGTTTTTGCTATAGGGTGCGTGCATTCGCCAGACAGACAGAGACAGAGAGATAGAAAGCGAGAAATCACCCCCCAGGGGGGATGGCCACGCCACAATCCCTTCTCCTCCATTCTCCTCTCAGGATCTTGGGCACGCACGCACATGCACCCAGCGTGAGTTTAAGCCACTGGGTCTGGGACTCGAACCATGGTCGACTATGTGGGAGTCCAGCGACATAGCCATTATGCTAATTGCTGGTCCCCATACTTTCAGTTTTTTATGGGAAATAGCAAACAGAAACCATCCAAGTTGTACTTGGGGAAATATTGCTGATTGGAGCAACAGAACCCTCCTTCCTTGCTCTGTATGTTAGACTGTATACCCTATGAAGCATAAGTTTTTATCTGCTAGACCCCTAGCACCTGGAGAAATTCCTGGTTCATTGTAGAAGTTCAGTAAATATTTGCTAAATAAATGAATCTGTCCAAAAAGGACACATGGTCATTGCATAATAATGACTAAAAAACATGAAGACCCCACTTGTTCCCCCACTTGCCTTCTCACTATTTGAGATGTGTTATATGTGTTATTAATTTTTTTTTTTAAAGTATGCAGACTCGGATCTGGTCACTTCATAGAAAGCTCTGATTTCTTTTTTTTTTTTGAGAGGCTTTTGCTATAGTGCATGTATGTGTGCTCACCAGAGAGAGAGAGACAGAGAGACAGCAAGAAATTGCCCCCCAGGAGGATGGCGACACCACAGCCCTTCTCCTCCACTCTCCTTTTAGGATTTTGAGCACACATGCACATGTGCCTGGCATGAGTTTCAAGCCACCAGGTCCAGGACTCGAACTGTGGTCGACTATGTAGGAGTCCAGCGATGTAACCATTACACCAGCCGCTGGCCCCAAATCTCTGATTTTTAACAGGATGTGTTTTACAGGTATCTGATTACAAGAATACATGTCTAGGTTGCATGAAACCAGTTAAGTCCACATCCAATCTTACCTGTGGACTCCAGTAACACTCTCCTCGACTATACCCTTGATTTTCTTAAACATGTTGGGATACTTCTTATAAATCCAGTGAGTAAGATCCCCTCCATCATCCAAGATCTGTAATAGTAAGCATAAGTCTAATGTCAGTCATTTTACTGAAGGCTGAAGGCTTTAATGCTTGGTTTTGTACCCCAACTTATTTTTCTTTTTTTTTGGAGAGGTTTTTGGTATAGGGCGTGTGCGCTTGCCAGAAAGAGAGAGTCAGAGAGATAAAAAGCGAGAAATCACCCCCCAGGGGGGATGGCCATGCCACCCTTCTCTTCCATTCTCCTCTTGGGATCTTGGGCATGCATGCACACGCACCTGGCGTGAGTTTAATCCGCCGGGCCCAGGACTTGAACCGTGGTCGACTACATGGGAGTCCAGCGACACAGCCATTATGCTAACTGCTGGTCCCTGTACCCCAATTTCTAATGACCAATTTATAGATATTTCACCTTTCTCATACACTTATGCAAAGTGACTTAAAACCAGAATAAACGCAATAATCTGTCAAATAGTCATTATTCTGAGGTAAATGGTCATGAGAGGTAAAAGGTCGATTGTAATTCTCACAGCCAATACCTTCCACAGTACACACCTACTGTATCAAGACATAGAGACACATGATGGTTTCCTTATGGATTGATAGTGTAAGTAGTTACCTAGACCACTAGTCTTTGACAGCATTGTAGATATTCAGAGAGCTGAAGCTTGATATAGCCAGTTTCTATTGGTTAAATTCAGGACTTTAAATATACTTAGTCAAGGCTTGTTTAAAATAAAAGACCAGATGATTAGATGATTAGCCTTAGAACAATGGCTTTATAAAAAACTGTGCTCATTAATCCTTTGCTTCATCCAAAGTACAGGTTCTCTACCACGCAATAGATTAGGCAGCGCTGTAGGGTTTTGCCTAGCACAACCTCGCACTCTGTATAAACCGAATTAAAAATAACCAGGGAACCGTGCAGCATGTAGGTGTGCAAGCATGCCTCTGAACAGCTCATCACTATTTCAGGTTGGGATTAAAGATAAACACAACGTGCTGCCCACTGGAGCTTTCATCAGCAGAGGACAGTTTCTGAATTATAAATAAGCTAAAGAAACACCAGCTTGGAATACTACCAGGCACTGGGCTGTGGCACCTGAGCCCTGCACTGGGAAGTAAGAGGTACTTGGCAGGACTTTCCAAATTGTTACCCACTTCCTCCTGGAAAAGCCCTGCAGAAGTGAGTGTCCTCTGCTGGCATTCACCTATTCTACAGTCCTAACAATTATGAACTCGACCACAAAAATGCTTTCCAGAAGGCCAGCATGTGGCATGGTGGTTAGGGTGCTGGACTCCCACAAGGCTGACTACGGTTCAAGTCCCAGACCTGGCAGCTTGAAAATCTCCCTGGGTGCATGTGCATGCATGCCCCAAATCCTGAGAGGAGAATAGAGGAGAAGGACTGTTGCATGGCCATCCCCCTGGGGGGTGATTTCTCACTTTCTCTCTCTGTGTCTCTCTCCAGCCCCAGGGAACACAAAATCCCCAACCTCGTGCTCCTGCTTTTGCCCCTGCTGTTGACCTTCCTCTGACTCAGTCAAACCTTGTTTGTGAACAGGGATCAAGATAGGATTCTCATGAAAACTCTCACTTAGCCCGGTGATGGTAGTGCAAATGGGAAGGCACTCTGACATGGTGGCTGGAGACACCTGGTAGGCCAGGGTTCAGCTCCCAGTCTAACCTGAATGGGCTGTGTGTAATGGCACGCACTTGTTGTCCTAGTTGGCTGGAGGGCTGGGGTAGGAAGGCCACAGTGTGGCGAGACTCTGTCAGAAAAATACCTCCCTCTCTCTCCCTCCTTTCTCTTTCACTTCTGCTCAGTCTCTCAGTAAAACAAACACCAAAACACTCACATTCACTCCATACCACAAAAAGAAACCCTCAGAACAGATGTTCTAAGAAACCAAAAGGCTCTTCTGAGTTTCTCTCTCTCTTTGGCATATATGGAATCCCTCATGAGTTTTCCCTTGCAGTCACAAAAAAGATCATAGATAAACAAAAAACCAGAACAACTAAAAAATCTAAAATTCCCTTCTTATGCACTCTCCTTCCCTCCCTCCCTCTTTTTTTGCTATAGGGCACATGTGCTCACCAGAGAGACCTGGGGGAAGAGGTGAGAAATCACCCCCCAGAGGGATTTGAGGCACACATGCATGTGCACCTGGCACTGCCAGTTCTGGGACTCGAACTGCACTGTTGGTCATGTGAGATCGAGCTGATTTAACCTCCTCACCACCAGCGGGCTAATGTACTTCTCTCTTTTAAAAAAGGTAGCTGATACAGGCAGGCAATTGTTACCCCTAGAATTTATTTAATGATGCAGTTCATAATTCTCACCATGTGATTCTACCGCAGAAAATTCTCGTCACCAGGGAATTTTCCTGAGGTTGGAAAGTACAGAAAAGTACTAGATCTTGACAGGATCTAAAGAGATAATGGGCCCTGTTTTCTAGGGTGAAAACTGTTTTTGTCCTTGTCTCACTCTCTCCATTAACCTTCCCAACAGTTTGTGCTGGTTCCAGTTTCTGAAAGCTCTCTGGGTACAATTCCATGTCTTCCTTGTGTTCGTGGCTATGCAATTACTGTTTCATTCCCAGGAGAAACCTCCTGGCATACCTTCTTTAATGTCTGTCAGCTATTCCTTCCTGTCCCTGTTAAAACTGTCAGAACGAGTTGACTCATCTTAGAGCCACTGTTGCCCCAGCCCCTAGGATGTGACAGCATCAACTCGGCTTCCTCAAACCAACTCTTGGCTGCATCGTGACCTGGATCACAGAACTCAGAAAAGGGTACTTCTCTGCTGAGTACCAGGTGAGGCCTGCTCTGCTGTCTAAAGCAGCAAGCAATGGCTGGATGAGAGCTTCAAGGATTCTTTTTTCAGTTAATTCCCTAATTTTCCCTCTCATTAATATGCAGAACTGCTGGCAGAGTGGGAGTGCCTCATACTTTGTATAGCTTTTTGCCTCTCTGTGAATCTCATATGCAATCAGCCTTCAAAACTTGATCTTTTTCTTTTCTTCTTCTTTTTTTAATTAGACCAAGAGAAAGAAAGTGAGACAGCAAGTTGCCAGGTCTGGAACTTGAACCATGGTCAGCCATATAGAAGTCCAGCATCTTGGTCATTATGCCACCTGAGCCAATATACAGTGTATTCTGGATGGGAAATCTCATTTTGTATGCTGTAATGATATACAGTGAATGAATGTAAATAAATAAATTTAAACAAAAATTTAAAAAAATAAAAACAAAGTAAAAATTGAAAGCCCCAAACTTTGTCCCCCAGGGTTTTTGCCATAGTGTGTGTGTGTGCTCACTGGAGGGAGAAAGAGATAGTAAGAGGGAAAGCAAGAAATCAGCCCCTAGGGGAATGGCCACTGCCACAGTCCCTCTTCCTCCATTCTCCTCCTGGGGTTTTGGGATGTATTTACGTGTGCCCAACATAGTTTTCAAGATGCCAGGTCCAGAACTTGAACCACAGTAGGTCATGTGGGAGTCCAGCACCTAACTACCATGCCATCTACTGGCTCCATCTGGCCATCTTTTTTAAAGTGGAGAATGAATAAAGAGGAGAAATTTGAATTTGGAAGCTCTTCAGGTTAACTATAAATCCAGTATATGTAAATAGATTGTACAGAGAAAGCTAAGTACCTCAGGAACTATGGGATTTTTTGATTGTTGTTGCTTTGTTTATTTTGGTAGTAGCTGAGGGAGTTGATGGACAGTGAAGGGAGATGGAAACTAGTTACCTTTGTTTTTTTTTAATTAGGTGTTTGCCATAGGGCATGTACACATGCTGTAGAGAGACAGAGAGAAGGAAAGTGAGAAAGCACTCCCTAAGAGGGATGGCCACGCTGCAAATCCCTTCTCCATTCTCCTCTGCAATTTTGGTCACTCGTGCACATGTGCCTGGTGTGATTTGCAAGCTGCCAGGTCTGGGACTCAAACTGCAGTCAGCCATGTAGGAATCCAGCACTTTAACCACCATGCCACCTGATGACCCCACCCTTGTTTTTTAATAAGCCATGTATAAATCCTGAGTAGCATTTTTAAAAAAATATTTTTTGAGAGATTTTTTGCTATAGGGTGTGTGTGTTCACCAGAGAGATGAAAAGAAAGTAAGAAATCACCTTCCAGAGGGGATGGGCATGGCACAATCCCTTCTCCTCTTGCAATTTTGGGCACACATGCACTCGTGCCCAGCGTGAGTTTCAAGTCACTGGGTCCAGGACTCAAATCAGGTGGCCATGTGGGAATCCAGCACCTTAACCACCACTCCACTTGCCGGTCCCCTGAGTAGCATTTTAATGATCCTGATAATTATAAACTTCAAATATCAGCACTACCAAGGAAGGCATTTTGAGATTACAAGGGGGGTAACTCTTGAGGTAATCTAAGCATAAGCTTTTAGTTCTGTTGGAAAACAGGTACATGAGACAGAGACAGAGCCATTTTTCTTCCTTCTTGTTGGGAAACCATCTCCTCCCACCCCCAGGGACATGTGTTAGCAGAAATCTGACCCACCATGTTGGGCTGCCAGCCCTCCACATTCACACATCTATCAATGCACCACCAAAAGTCATCTTCTGACTCTCCTTTCCAGGCAAAGACAGGAAATCCTGAGAAAAAGGAATGAAGAGAAACCATTAAGGACTGAAAAAGGATTAACCCCCAATGTTCTCATTCAGCTGTATTCTTTAGATTGGCTTTCTTCACTGAGTGGCACTGCCTTAGCCCCTGTATCCATTCCTTTGTCCTTACTCATCATTCTGTTTGTCCTCACAGAGGACAAACAAGAGTAAAGCTGCTAAAAATATGACAAAGAAAAGAAAGAAGAAACCAGAAATAAGTATTTCTTGATCCAAACTGGCATTCTCACCATTTTCCAACGACACTTTGATTTTTCTTGCTTCTGTGCTTGTCATTCCACCCTCCTCATCGAGAAAACACTTACTCTTTCCTCTACCTGCAAAAATCTTGCTATACTTCATAGCCCAGTTAAAGGTCACACTTCTAATAAAGCTTGATTAACCCAGCTGGAAGTGAGCTCTCATGGAATTGGAACTTTTCTTAGCCCCTTGTTTGTGTACTGAATATGAGTATGAATTTATGACCTGTCATGGCATTTACCATACATGTCCTTTTATTACCATTATATATTATCTCTTCAACCACAATGCAAGATTCTGAGGGAGGGTCAGGAGGTGGCATGGTGGTTAAGGTACTGGACTCCCACATGGCTGATCATGGTTTGAGTTCCAGACCTGGTGGCTTGAAAATCACACTGGGCACATGTGCATGCATGTACAATGGAGGAGAAGGGACTGCAGCATGGCCAACTCCGGGGCTGTGTGTGTGTAATTTCTCACTCACTCTCTATGGCAAGTGCACGTGCCCATAGCAAACTAAATTAAAAAAATATTCTGTGGACAAAGAATCTCATTTGTCCTTATCTCTCTCATTTTTTAAAAGAATTATTTTATTTATCTTTATTTATTTATTGTAATTTGACCAGAGAAGGACAGGGTGATAGAAAGAGAGAAAGCAAGCCACCAGGTATAGGACTGAAACCACGGTCAACCATGTGGGAGTCCAGTGCCCTTAACCACCATGCCACCCACTGGCCCCGTCCTTGTATCTCTTAAATGTTTATTAAAATGAAAAAAGAAAGAAAAAAATGGAGACCAGCAGATGGTGTAATGGTTATATCACTGGACTCTCACATGGCTGATTACAAAATTAAGTCCAGTACATGGCACCTTGAAACTCATTCCAGGCACATGTGCATGCATGCCCAAAAGGGACTCTGGTGTAGCCATGCCCCCTGGGGGTGGTTTCTCGCTTCTGTCTCTCTACTTGTCCTATAGCAAAAATCTCTCTCTCTAAAAAAAGAAATGAATGTATATGTACAATTCATTGGGCTATATATTTAATGTATGGGCACTTTTCTATCATATACACATCAAAAAATAATATAAATGAATGCATGTAAGTGAAGCAACAAACGAAATGCTGAGAATGCTAGCAAAAGGAAAGACATGCACACCCCAAGGGGCTTTGCCTGCATTTCCTAGGAGCTGTGAGGCAAGTGTCTGGGACTCTGATCTGTGCTCTGCTATCAAAGAGGACAGGCAAGAAGCAAGCAAAGTCCAAATTTCTCCATGTCTCTTGTCCTTCAGGAACCAGCGGATGTTGGGATCAAATATTAATCTACCAGGTCGAGTCCTCTTTACTACTGGAGCAGAAAATCAAATGTCAAGTCAGGGCACACTACTGCTGGAAAACCAGAAGGTTGCAAAACTATGGCTGATGCATTTTCTTCTCTAATCCTTGCTACCTTAGAGAGTGAGCAGTGTCCACTGGTGCTCTACTGCTCACGAGGCAAAGCAAAGCACTAACTAAAAACGGATTATCAGACATAGGTCAGTACTGGCCAACTATAAAACAAGTTACTCAGATTATGTCTGACAAGAGAAGCCCATTCAGATAGCAAACTCATAAGAGAGGGATCCACTGCTTCCAAGCTAGCTCCTTTATTACCGAACTTCCTTAAAAGTTTAGATGATAACAATGGAACTTTTTGGAGACTTATTTAAGCCAAAGACAGAATAAGCAAAGGACCTTACCACTTTCTGCTAGAGCAGCAGCCACTTCATTGAGAGTGGAATAGATGTTGCAGGCAGCCCATCGGCACTGCGCCCCCAGGGCACCCAGAGTTTCCATAAGCACCTGTGTAAAGAGGAAGCAAGGGATGAGCAAGCCTGGCCCAAATGAGCAGAGGAAGTTTATATGCGTGATGATGAGAAAAACATCAGGAGGTCGATGAGTTGTAGAACCGCGTCAGTATTCTCAGAGAGGGCAGAGGCTTCAGGGAGGCCTGAGAAGAGGCTCCAGCTGAAAACTCTTGTGTTACCTATTTAATATATTGGGTCTAGGGACCAGCAGGGGGCGTGGTGGTTAAGGTTCTGGATTCCCACATGGCCAACTGCAGTTTGAGTCCTGGATCTGGTGGTTTGAAACTCATGCTGGGTGTATGTGCATGCGTGCCCAGAATCCTGAGAGGAGAATGGAAGAGAAGGGATTGTGTCATGGCTGTGCCCCTACCCCCAAGGGATGATTTCTCACTTTCCCTTTATCTGTGTCTCTGTGTCTCTCTTTCTCTGGCAAGCACATCTCCCAGTCTCCCAGAAGATTTCATTAAACCAAGGATTTCAGAGCCCAAAATTTGATTTTAATTTTGTGCTAGAGGGTGTGTACACTTGCCAGAGAGACAGAAACAAGGAGAGGAGAAAGTACCATCCATGGGGCATGGTCACACTGCAATCCTTTCTCCTCCATCTCCATCTCTTACTCCTTGTGAGATTTTGGGCACATACACACACGCCCCTGGTGTGTTTCTTAAGCTGCCAAAGCTGGGACTAGAACCACGCAGTTGGCCTTGTGGAATCAACCACCAGGCAGGCCATGGAGCTGGCTCAAGTCAAAACATTTTTTTAAATAACATAGATTTATTGTTCGGCTTCTGCTTCAGATATAGACAGCTTCAAAGGAATCTTCTGCCCTAACAATAAGAAAAAGCTGGATAACCTACAAAACCATACTTTTTGTGTTGCTGTTAGAGGGTACAAGCACTTGCCAGAGAGAGACAGAGGTCGGGCGGGGGATGAAGAGAGAGAGCATCCCCAGGGGGCATGGCCACACAGCAATCCCTTCTCCTCCACTTCTCCCTCTTTTTGGGAGTTTGAGCACACGTGCACACATGTCTGCACTCATGGTGTGTTCCTCAAGCTGCTGGGTCCAGGACCCGAAGCTGGCCATGTGAGATCCAGTCCCCTTAACCAGCATGCCACCAGCTGGCTCCCGTGCTGGACTTTTCTTGAGCACAATTACTGAGGTCCAGCAACCAAATATATTGAACTCCAAAAAGTGGCAAATCCTTTTAAGGAGAGATGGAACACTTTCTCTTTTGGCAGAACACAAGGAGAACGAAATGGCTGCTATAAAAAAACTGGGACCAGCAGACAGTGTAATAGTTACATTGCTGGACTCTCACATGGTTGACTGTGGTTCAAGTCCCAGACCTGGTGGCTTGAAACTCATGCTGGGCTCGTGTGCACACGTGCTCAAAATCCTGAGAGAAGAAGGTAGGATTTCTCTGTCTCTTTGTCTCCTGGCAAATGCATACAACCTATAGCAAAAATTTCTCTTAAAAAAAAAAAAAGGTAAGAAAAAACTTAGCTGAAATTTAAATTAATTTGTAAAGGTTGACTGTAGGAAATCATCAGTTTGGAATTTCTGGTAGCCCTGGGTGCAAGGCGATTTCATACACATGCAAGCTTAAAGGTTTATTTATTTATTTTTTTCTTTACTCCAAAAAATGAGTGAGAGAAAGAAAGTGACAGAAAGACAGGTACTCCCCACAGGGTCCTTCATCATGTGATCCACCTCCAGCCTCAGCCAGCCCCAGAGGAGGTATGTGTCATGTTCAAGGAGGTCTCTGGATGCAAACCTGGAACCTTTCCAAGTGGCTCAGCCTTGCGGAGTGCTATTTTACCACTGCACCACTGTCTAGCCCCTATCACAAGCAAGTTCTTTTGAAGGGGCTTTCAACCTGTGCCCACAAGCATGACCAGGGGCAGAGAGCTTGACTGGCTGAACTCAGATACAGGCATGGAACTAGGGCACTTCCCTATACTCTTCTCTCATAGGAAGAGAAACAAGTCTTAAAGCCACAAGAATTGTGTCTGCCATCAGGGACCAGGCAAAGATCTACTGCTTCTGAGGGAGGGAAGAAATACCAATTCTGCCTCTGAGAGAATAGCAGGAAACTCTCTGGTCCAAAAAAATGTCTCCTTCTAAAGACCTACCAAAGGTACTAGGCAAAACTCGGCTGCTGCAGAGAGGAGAGGCAGGAACAACACTGAGCAAACCTGCCCTTACAGAGGCCTGCCCAAGACTGAGGCTTGACCAGGGGAAGCAGGAACCCACCCACCCTCACCAGGAGCCTCACCCTGGGAAACAAGGAGCAGCAGGCTAATGCTGCAAGTGGGGCAGGCCCTTGAGAGAGAGCGCCGCCCTGTGGCATGCATGAGTAGAAGCAGCTGAAAGCTGAGGGTAAAGTAGAAACAGCCCTTTGGCAACTTCAAATCATAGGGTAACAGCAGCCCACTGCTGAGGAATTTGAAGGCCATGGTGTACAACGATGGAAACAGAAACCCAGTCCAAAGGGCTGTAATGAAAATGGATACATTAGCATTTAATAAAAAATGTCAAGATACACAAAAAAGTGAAAAAAATTAATGAGTAAAGAAATAGTCAAGGGCCAGAAGGTGGGGTAGAGGTTAAGCCAGCTGGATTCCACATGGCTGACTCTGCAGTTTGAGTCCCAGACTCAGTAGCTTGAAACTCACTCTCAGCACATGTGGATCTGTGCCCAAATCCTAAGAGGAGAATGGAGAAGGAACTGTGGCATGGCCAACCCCTCCAGGAGGTGATTTCTCACTTTCCCTCTGTGTGTCTCTCTCTGTGTGTCCTCTGTCTCTCTCCAGTGAGCACACATGCCTTCTATCAAAAATTAGAATAAAAATAATTTTAAAAAGAAAGAAAGAATCAATATTGGTCAGCCTCATGTCCTAGCGGATAAGGGAGCCAGATCTCACATAGCTGACTGCACAGTTCAAATCCTGGCTTCAGTGGCTTAAAAAACACACTGAACAAGAGTGCATATGCATGCCCCAAAATTCCAAGAGTGGATAAATGGAGGAGAAGGGATTGCAGTATGACCATGTCCCATTTGGGGGTGCTTTCTCCCTTTCTCCCCCTCTCTCTCTGGCAAGCACATGTGCCCTCTGACAATTAAAGAAAATCTATAGAACCAGACTCTCAGATGATTCATCAGACTGAAGCTTTAAAATAACTATGATTAGGGCTGGCTCAATAGCCTGGTGGTTAAGGTAGTTGGATCCCACATGGTCAGTGTGTGCAGTTCAAATCCTGGACCTGGTGACTTGAAAAACCTGCTGTGCGTGCATGTGTGTGTGTGTGTGTGTGTGTGTGTGTGGCCAAAATCTACACAGGGTGGAAAAACGAAGAAATGATTATGGTGTGACTATGTCCCATTATGGGATGCTTTTTCCTTTTCTGTCTCTGTTTCCCTGTCTTTCTCTCTGTGGCAAGCTCATGTGCCCACTGGCAAAATTTTTAAAAATAGACAAAGCTATGATTAACATGCTTATGTTAAACAATCTAGTGAATAAGATGGCACAACATTCATGAACGGATAGGGAATTTCAGCAGAGATATGGAAACTATTGGGTTGTCATGATGCATTTTTGCAAAGAAAAACAGAAAAATATGTCATGACTTTCCTGATGACCCAATATAAAAACAAATCAAATAGAAATGCCTGAAAAAATGAAAAAAGTGACACTACAGATAAAGAATTCCTTCAACAAGCTTACTGTAACATTAGGCACACCCAAGGATAAAACTAGTGCACTTAAAGATAGAGCAATAGAAATGACCAAGCTGAGGGGCCAGCAGGTAGCATGGTAGTTATGGCCTGGACTCCCACATGGTCAAATGCGGTTCAAGTCCTGGACCCAGTGACTTGAAAATCACGCTGGGCACATGTGCGTGCATGCCAAAATGCCAAGAGGAGAAGGGATTGCAGCATAGCCACATCCCTGGGTGGGGAGGGTGATTTCTCACTTTCCTTCTCACTGTCTCTCTCTGGTGAGTACATGCACCCTATGTCAAAAACCTAAAAAAGAACAACAAATAAATTACCAACTGAAATACCAACAGAACACAAGAGTGGTGGAAAAAATCTGAAGGGACCATCCAAGATCTGTGACACATTATCAAATGTCCGAACACACTTGTAATTAGAGTTCTAAAAGGCAAAGAGGGAAGAATATGGCAAAAGAAATACACAGAGAGGTCCAGCTACTGCAGTACAGTGGTAACACAAGTGCTCTACAAAGTTGGAAGCCTTGGGCTGGCAAGTGGTGTGGTGGTTAAGGGCACTGGACTCTCACATGGCTGACCGTGGCTCGAGTCCTGAACCTGGTGGCTTGCTTTCTCATTCCTCACCCCCCACCCATCTCTCTCTGATCAAATTAAAAATAAATAAATAAATAAATAAATAAAGTTAAATAAAATAATTCTAAAAAAAAAAAGTTGGAAGCCTTTTGCCCTACCTCAGGTTTGGATCTCTGAGTCGGCCTGAAAACTCGTGAATGAGAGCACAGGTCTGGGCACCCAGGATCCTGAAGAGCTGGAGGGCTGGAGCCAGGGAATTGAGTGTGACAAGGTCCTAGTTATGATGGTTATTCTCTTTGTCTCTCTCTCGCACATGCATGTGCTCTCTGTCATTGAAAAATGAAAAGAAACACTTGAAGAGTTAATGGGCAATTATTTTCCAAAATGAATAAAAGCAGGTCTGGGAATAATGACATCCTAATACCAGATAGCATATAAGTTTCCAGACCTACTAAAAGGAACCAGGGCTGCTTGGAGAAATGGGTTATTCTAAAGCTAGGGCACGGAATGTTTGAGATGAGCTTTGATCATTTTGTGCCAAAGCAAAAAAGTGCCCAAAGAATGAGAGAGAACAAGGAAGCCACAGAAGCCAGATTGAAAGGCCTGCCTAGACAAACTGGGGACAAGGAACATCGAAATAAATGAATTAATTAATAAATAAAATAATGACAGTAATGGATTATAAT